TTTTGAAACAGGATCAGTTCAGGCTGGCCCTCAACTCACTATGTATCCCAATCTGGCCTCAAACTCCTGATGATCCTTCTGCCTCAGCCTCCTGAGTGCTGGGATTATAGGTAAATTCTCTCTCTCTTTCTCTCTCTCTCTTTCTCTTTCTCTCTCTCTCTCTCTCTCTCTCTCTGTCTCTATCTCTTTCTCTCTCTTTCTCTCTCTCTGTCTCTGTCTATCTCTCTCTCTGTCTCTGTCTCTCTCTCTGTCTCTCTGTCTCTGTCTCTGTCTCTCTCCCTCTCTCCCCCTCCGTCTCTCTTCTCTCTGGTGGTACTAGAGTCGGCGCCCAGGCCTTCCACACACTAGGCAACCACTCACCACTGACCTCCAGCCTGCTCTCTCAATCAGCTTTTCATTATAATGCTTTGGCTGTTGCCAAAATAATAAAAATAAACTGAGATCACTTAAATGAGCCCCGCTGGCTAACACCCTGGAGATGTAGCTCCACAGTAGGTCACTTACCCAGCATGCAGGAGACTCTGAGTTCCATCCCAGCACCCCAAAAATAATTGGAAAAATAAATATATACTCAGGAGGATCATTGTGAGCTCAAGACCAACCTGGGCTACAGCATGAGCTCAAGGCCAGCATGAGCTGCATAGTGAGACCATGTCTTTAGAACGAACACACACACACACACACACACACACACACACATATGCCTATGCCAGATGCGGTCATGCTTGCCTGTAATCCCAGCACTCGAAAGCTGAGGAAGGAGGGTAGCTGCAAATTTGTGGCCAGCTAGGGCTACATAGTGAACTCAAGGCCAGCCTGAACTACAAAGCAAAACCTTGCCTCAAAAACATCCCCACAAGGCCAGGAAGATAGCTCAGCAGCATAAGCACCTTCCTGGCAAGTGCAAGCCCCTAAGTTGGATCCCTGGTACCACACACACACACACACACACACACACCACCACCACCACCACCACCAAAAATAAATAAAAAAATAAAAATCCACATATATACATGTGCGTGGCGATCCAGCGCCTGAGAGGATGAGGCAGGAGGATTGCCGAGATTCCCAGGCCAGCATAGGCTACATAGGGACTTCCAAGGGGGCCTAAACTACATAGCAAGATCCTGTCTCTGAAATGTCAAGTCAACTTTTGTCACAAACACACAGGTATGTGTGTATGCATGTACCAAGCAACCAATGAGCAAAATTCTTTTGTTTTTGGTACCGGGGGTCAAACTCATGACCTTACCCTTGGCAAGCAGGCACATATGCTGCTGAGCTATCTCCCCAGCCCCCAACCATCCAACCAATAAAATAAACCTGCAATCACAATAGCCCCTTAATTAGGGAAGGCGGATGACTTGCAGTCTGTCCTGCCCAGAGAAGACCACCAAGAAAATCAGAGCAGGGTGGCACAGGCCTGGGATCCCAGCACTCGGGAGGACGGCTAGTTTGAAGCCAACTGCGCCACAGGACGAGGTGAAGTCCAGCCTGGACTATCCAGCAAGACTGTGTCCAAATAAATACATAAATAAGAGGGAACTGGCAATCCGTGGAGAGAATCTCAAGTGCATGGGGAGAAGGGAAAGAAGACAAATACAAAAGCACACAGCCTTCGGATTTCATGCCTTTCCCTTCCATCTGGTTCCCTGCCCTCCAGCCGCCCTCCAGCCCCTCCTCCTCCTTTCTTGCCCTACTGGAGATTGGCTCTCGGGCCTGTGCGCGGAGCTAGGGCCCCAGGCCTTTCGATTTTTCAAGAAATATGAATCCCATGGCGCAAGCATTTCCGGCAAAGTACCTTTAATGTGTTTGCATTCGCAGCGTTAAGATGAGCTAATTTTGGCACCATGAGTTAGGTGTGTAGCTCCATGTGATGTCTCCGGTCACCTCAACCAGTACTTACCCCGATGACTAGAGAAACTGAACAAAAACATAATTCTGATAAAGGCCGCATTCACAAGCCCAACACAATTTAAAGTAACCTTTTCAACAGAGGGCTTCCAATTAGAATTATTTTATAATGATAAAAATGGAAATTATTTAGAAAATAAAATCCTGGTGAAATAGCTCAGAGGACTAAGCGCCTGCTTAGGCAAGCTCAGGGATCGGGGATTTGATCCCCAGCACCGCAGGCCGCGCTGGCCCCGCCGGCCCGCCCCAACGCCCGCTGGCCCCGCCCCCAGGCCCGCCGGCCCGCCCCCAGGCTCACTGGCCCGCCCCCAGGCCCCGCCCCAGGCCCCACCCCAGGCCCTGCTGGCCGGGGCCTCCAGGCGCACAGAGCAGGCGACAGTGTCCAGGCATGGTGGCACACGCCTGTAATACCAGCGCTGGAGAGGCTTGAAAATAGGAGGATCACTACGAGTCCGAGCTGAATAGTGAGACCCTGTACCAAACACATATCTAGAAAATAAAATACTTCACTTACTTATTGGTATATATTAAATGTCTTGCTAAACAAACTATGCCCTCAAGTCAAAATGATTTCAAGCCAGTGTTTCAAATGCCAAAAATCACTGCTATGCTATTGTTCAGCAACTCCATTCAAATAAACTCTGGTACTGGATTCAAGAAAATAATAAATAAATATGCAGCTGAGGCAGACACCAACAACTTTGCACTCTGAAGTTTTAAACGAAACACCCCATTCTGCATCCTTTAAGACTGCCACTCTGGGGCTGGGGAGATAGCTCGGCAGTCTAAGCACCTGCCTGGCAAGCGCAAGGACCTGGGTTTGATCCCTGGTACCACATGCCTTGCCGGCCCCAGAACCCTGCATGCTCTATGTCAGCCACCAAAACCAGGCAAGGTGGCACACACCTGTAATCCCAGCGCTGGGGAGGCTGAGACAAGAGGGTCACTACGAGTCTGAGCTGCATAGCGAGACCCTCTACAAAATAAATAAAATATTAAAAAAAAAAAAAAAAAACTGCCGCTCAGAGACCAGAGTTCAATCCCTGGGCCTGCTACGCTGGCCCCACCCCCAGGGCACACTGAGACAGGGCTTGAGACTGGGCAGACCTGTAATCCAAGCGTTTGGGAGGTTGAAAACAGGAGGATCACTACAAGTCCAATCTACATAGTAAGACCCTGTAGACCCTGTACTAAAAGAAAAAAAAAAAAAAAAAAAAAAAAAAGACTGCCACTCTGCTTCAGGAACCTGAATGTGCCATATTTTACTTCAATTGGTAAAGCGCTTTGCCGAGAATATAAAAAGTTATTCAAAAGGCAATCGTGAAAGATTGAAACTATGGCATGCTTCATGACTTGGCGTGTCATCCTTGCGCAGGGGCCATGCTAATCTTCTCTGTATCATTCCAATTTTCGTACATGTGATGTCGAAGTGAACACCGATTCCTTACTTTGAGACAGGGTCTCGCTAAGTCAGTCTGGGCTCAAACTTATGACCCTCCTGCCTCGGCTTCCCAGAGCGCTGGCCTGACAGGTGTGTGCCACCATGCGTGGATGTATTTCCTCATTTCTTCAATGTTTTAGAAAAAGCAAAAGAATAAGGACCATGGTGTAATCAGTAGCTGGCTGGATGGGGTAGGGTGGGGTGGAGTGGGGTTTGGGTACCAAGAAGCATGGGAATTTTGGCCATGGCAGCATTTTGCATCTTGACTATAGTGGCTAGCGAATACATAGCTTTGGGGAAAAGTCGGGCCTGTATGTGCTAAAAAAGGACTTTATTGTAAAATTGTATTTTAATCTTTTAAAATATATTTGCAGGCCGGGGAGATGGCTCCATAGAATAAGTGCTTCCCTGGCAAGCGCAAGGGCCTGAGTTCAATCCCTGGTTCTGCCAAAAAATAAAATAAAATAAAATAAAATAAAATAGATTTGGTACAAGGTCTCACTATGCAGCCCAGGGTGGTAGTGATTCTCCTGTTTTAAGCCTCTCTGGACTCTGTCACAAGCTCGGCGTGCCCAGGGGCAGGGCCAGTGTAGCATGTGGTGCCAGGGATCAAACTCCGGTTTCTGTGCTTGCCTAAGCAGGCACTTAGTCCACTAAGCTATCTCGCCAGCCTCTTTTTTTTTTTTTTTTTTTCTTTTTTTGAGACAAGGGTCTTACTCTGCAGCCCAGCCTGGCCTCAAACTTGAAGCAACCAATCTTCCTGCCTCAGCCTCCCGAGTGCTGAGATTACCAGCACACCTGGCAAACTGTATTTCAAAAAATAATAGCTAACACAGAAACCCACCCAGCAACCTTGCACCAGGGCCTAGTGAGAAAGCAAACTCAAAAGGGAAATTTATTAATTTAAAATTTTTTTACTCATGTATGTTTGCAGTACATATTAATTTTATTCACTGAAATTAGGAAATTTAATACAGGGGTTGGTCACAAAGTTGACAATCCAGGGCCGGCCAGATAGCTCAGTGGACTAAAGCACCTGCTTAGGCAAAGCGCAGGGACCGGACTGGAGTTTGATCCCGGCTCCACATGCCATGCTGGTCCCGCTCCTGCGGAGTGCTGAGATGGCAACTGAGACTGGGCATGGTGGCACGCACCTATAATCCCAGTGCGTGGGAGGCTGCAGGATGGAGGACCACTAGGAGTCTGATTTGTGTGGTGAGACCCTGTAGATGCTGTACTAAATACATTTTAAAAAAAAAAAAAAAAGTTGACAATCTGGCCAGGGAGCTAGCTCAGTAGAATAAGTGCCTGCCTGGCAAGCGCAGGGTCCTGAGTTCAATTCCCGGTACTGGAAAAAAAAAAAAAAGTTGACAATCTACAGGATGCTGAAACAATTTAAAAATTGGCACGTAGAGAACCAGGCATGGTGACACGCTGAGGCTGGAGGGCTGCAAATTAAAAGTCAGTCTGGGCAAAATTAAATAATATATTTTTTTATATTTAGCAAAATATAGATAGATATAGATGAGCTAGTGATATAGGTTAGAGCCAAGGTCCGGGGTTCAATCCTCAGTCTGAGAAAAAGAAAAAAAATATTAGCACACAGGGGTTAGGGGTGGCTCAGGGTACAGAGATAGTCTGGCGTGCTTTTTGGGTCCCATTCCCAGCGCCACCAAAAAGGAAAAGATTGTTAGAACAAGGATACCCCAGGGTCACGAGGAAACTGAGGCCCAGAGACTTCAGGTGACCCGCCCAGGAGTTCAAGCTCCCAGGAAGCTCCGCCTCCACCAGGCCAGGCTCGGGGATGCTTCTCCGCTGACCTCCACGGTTGCTAAGGAAACAGAGGCCACCGGAAAGGCCCCCGGCGAGCCCCGCCCCCAGGCCGGGGAGGTGTAGGGGAGGCTCCGCCCCCGAGCTGGGCAGTTGGAAAAGAAAACAAACCCGGGAGATGTTCCGGGTGGTGGTAGAAAGGGGGGGTTCTCCTCCCACCTCCCCCACCAGATCTGCACCTCCTACTTGGGGGCTGTCCCCTAATACCGCAGGAAGATCCCTGGTCGTAGGCGATGCTGGTGCTGGAGTTCGCAAATGCGGGGTGTTGGGGACCCTTCCTCCAGCTTCGAATGTGAGCCCCAAGGCAGGCACAGATCCTCTGTGATGCTGGCCCTGAACCACAGGGACAGAGGTCGCCTGGGACCAGCCTTTGATCCCCAGCGGAGGCCTAGCTGCGCTGACCTTTGACCTCCCCCTCCCAGGCTTGGGCCAAAATGCTCCAAATGCTTTTGCGGTGGTCACTGTGTTTCCCCTTTCTCAGTATTGGGAATCAAGCCCAGGAGTGCTCTACCACTGACCTGCCTCTCAGCCATGTTTATGCTTTTTATTTTGAGACCAGGTCTTGCTAAGTTGCTCAGTTGGCCAGGCTGGGTTTCAATTTAGGATCCTTCTGCCTCAGCCTGGATCCCACACCTGGGAGCGGTAGGTGGTTGTTAGTCCCCTTTATTAGTACTCATAGTTAATAGTGCGGCTCTGTGCAAACTGCATTCTGTTTGGTCCATGCGCTGGGTGGCACATGCCTATAATCCCAGAACTGGGGAGGCTGAGGCAGGAGGATCGCCATGAGTTCAAGGCCAGCATGGGCTACCAGGTAAAACCCTGTCTCGGAAGGAAGGAAGGAAGGAAGGAAGGAAGGAAGGAAGGAAGGAAGGAAGGAAAAAATGGAAGAAACTGGACAAGGTTGGGCACGTGGCTCAGTGCTGGAGCATATGGCTAGCATATTTGAGAGTTGCAGTTTGACCCCCAGCACAACAAGAAAGCAAAATTAAAAAAAAAAAAAAAATAAAACAGGACATCAGTGAGAATGTGGTGAAAGTTCTGGAGAAACGAAGAGTAAGAAGAGAAAGATAGTTTCAGATAAGAGTAAGCCTGCAGGTGTGGGTGGGTGGGAGAACAGGAGACCCAGGAAGGAGGCGCTAGTGACCAGAGCAAAGGTCCTGGGGCTGCAGTGTGGCTCCTGGGACTGGAGGAGTCGGCTGGCGCAGCTGCAGCCACAGGGTAATAGGGCCAGAGATGAGGGAAGTGGACAGCAGGGCCTCGTGGGCTGTGACAAAGGCTGGGCTTTTGCTTTAAGGAAACAAGCGATGTGATCTGACTCAGGTGTTGACAGCTCCCTCCACGGTGGAAAAGAGACTCTTGGCAACCCGGAAGGACACAGCTGAGTGAGGCGCAGGAGGCACATTCCAGCGACCCCAGCCAGTCAGTGGCAGGCCCTGAACCTGACCCCTATCTATGTCACTTCTGGGCTATTGGGGAAAATCATTTATGGGCAGTGTATGGGAGATCTCAGAGAGAGCCTTGAGACCCAGGACCCTGAAATAGAAGGATGAATGAAGAAATTCACTCAAGAATTTATCTAACAGCCACTATGGTGGTGGTGCACAACTGTGATCCCACTACTCGGGAGGCTGAGGCAGGAGGGTTGCCAGGGGTTTGAGGCCAGCCCAGGCTACACAGAGAGTTCAAAGCCAGCCTGAGCTGCATGGTAAGAACCTGTCTGCCAAGAAAAAATAAATTTTTTTTTACAGTGGCAAAGCAAATGGTCAACAGGTATTTGAAAAATTGCTGAGCCCCACTAATTATCAGACATGCAAATCCAAACCACAAAAAGAACTTGTTTTACCCCACTTTGACTAGGTATAAGCAAAAAGATAAAAATGACAAATGCTGCCAGGATGCAAAAGAAGGGGAACTGTCATGCCCAGAGAGAATGCAAATTAATACAGTTATTATGGAAAATAATATGAAGGTTCCTCAAAAAGACTAAAATTAGAACTACCATATGACCTGGCAAGCTCACACCATGGCTATATGCAAAGGAAATGGATAGATGAAAGAGATTTCTGCATTCACACATTGCTGGTGGTACAAGTAAGTCACGAGGGCTGAGATGTAGAATCAACTGAGGTACCCTATGACAGGTGAATGGATGAAGACAACGAGGCCTATGGCCAGGATGGAATATTATGCAGCCAGAAAGAAGAGTGAAATCCTACTTTTTTTGCAGCAACATGGATGAAGCTGGGGCTGGGGAGATGGCTCAGTAGAATAAGTGCTTGCCTGGCAAGCGCAAGGGCCTGAGTTCAATCCCTGGTTCCACAAAAAATAAAATAATTTTTTAAATTAAAATAAATAAGTAAATAAATAAAAATATTTTAGGGGCCGGGGATATAGCTCAGCAGCATAACATGCCTGCCTGGCAAGTGCAAGGTCCTGAGTTCAATTCCTAGTACAAAATAAATATTGTACATTTTTTGTCTTTTTTTTTTTTTTTGTGGCTCATGCAGCCTTAAGGGTGGGTCCAGTAAGGCATGTGTGATCAAACTGTGACCCCCTGTGCCTGACTGGCTTTGCCCAAGCAAATGTTTAAACAACTGAGCTAAACTGCAGCCTCCCCCACACCACGCTGGTCTTGAAGTCACAACAATCCTCCTGCCTCAGCCTCCCAAGCGCTGGGACTACAGGCACACACCACCACCTCTGGCTCCCTTCTGTGTTTTTCCCCACAGTACTGAGAAATGGAACCCCCCAGCCTTGTGCATACCCAGCAACTGCTCTGCCATTGAGCTACAACCCCAGCCTCACTCCATACCTTCATTAATTTTTTGTAAAGATGTTCAAAAAATACATATTGGATGCAAAAAAAATTTTTAAGTTCACCTCTTTTGCACAGCATGAGCCTATTCCAAGGCTCCCCTCATCCTAGATATCTTTGTTTTAGCTCTTTTCTCTTTGATGACAAAAATCTTATTTCCGTAATAATAATGCTAATTGCCAGGGTGGTGGTGCACGCCTGTCATCCCAGTACTCAGTGGAGGCTGAGGCAGGAGGATCATTCCCAGTTTGAAACCAGCCTGAGCAACTGGGTGAGTTCAAGGCCACCCTGGACTACATAGTGCGACCCTACCATCATCATCATTGGTGCTATTTATTGAGTTTTTACCTTGTGTCAAGCATGTCACGCTCTGCCTCTATGAGGTCATCAAAGTCTCATAACCGCTGCATCTTCCAGTTGAGAAACTGGGTGGGTTCGGAGAGCACTTGGTTGACAGGGAAGTTCGGTCCACACCACTCTGACCGCCTGGCCGCCCTGGCCCGACACGTGCTCGCGGCGCCCCCTGGAGGTCAAACGGGGTACATGGAGAGCAATCAGAAAAAAAACCCAGTTATTTCATTACTGCTGAAAGGGTCCCTCCAGAGAGCCACCGGGCTCAGTGGACGGCCCAGTTTGCTGTCCTGAGGGAGCTCCAACTATTACAAGAGATAGGAATGTGGCAGGGGGGTGGAGACACACATCCGACCGAGGGATGTCAGGAGGGTAGCACGCAGCTCTGGGACAATGACTACGCTGGTTCAATCCTGAAGGCTTTCTTTGGAAGATGAGGCCCTGCCTGTAAACTAACCATAAGGGCAGGGGAGATGGCTCAGTAGAATAAGCGCTTGCTTGTTAAGCACAAGGGCCTGAGTTCAATCCCTGGTTCTGCAAAACAAACAAACAAACAAAAAAACAAAACAAAACAAAACAAAAACAAAAAAACAAGCAGGGGCTGGTGAGATGGCTCAGTGGTTTAAAGCACCTATTTAGAACAAGCTTAGCAAAGCACAGGGACCACGGTTCAATCCCCCAGCACCACATGCCAGCCAGCCCC